CAGAGTGGATTAGGGGACAAACGGGGGTTAAGGATATCATAGTTGAAATAAAGAAGAGGAAATGTACATGGGCCGGGCATGTAGCGCGTAGACAGGATAACCACTGGTCATTAAGGGTAACTAACCGGATTCCCAGAGAAGGGAAGCGGGTTACAGAGAGACAGAAGATTAGGTGGGCAGATGAGATTAAGAAGTTTGCGGGTATAAATTGGCAGCAGCAAGCACAGGACCGGGTTAACTGGCGGAACATAGGAGAGGCATTTGTCCTGCAGTGGTCGTAGTCAGACTGATGATGATGATGATGATGATGATGAATGCTAGTGAAACAACCATGAACGCATCATTAGCGTGGCATGTAGTCAAGTTCTTACATGACACGCATGTCATGATTATCCTGTTTGCACCAGTCATACACCTTCGTCATCCATTCACGTCACGTAATACCAAAGTCGGTATATGTCAAGCTAGTGAAACAGCCACGAGTGCATCATGAGCCTGGAATGTAGTCATGTCCTTACATGACACGCATGTCATGATTTCTACGTGAGGGCCTGTGCTATGCAGTCAGGTCACACCATACACGTGTTTCAATATGTCATGTGAACGAAACCACCGCAGGACCAGCAAGATATGCCATGTAAATCATAACAGTCATGACATACATGTCATTATTTTTATGTTATGACTAGTCAGTTATGCTCGCCATACAGTCATGTTATGCCATAATCACGTGGCTACACCAATTCTTGGTATTGATCCCATTATCCAAATGGCTAGGAGACCTCAAAGTCGTAGGCGACTAGATAGATAGATAGATAGATAGATAGATAGATAGATAGATAGATAGATAGATAGATAGATAGATAGATAGATAGATAGATAGATAGATAGATAGATTCAAACTAGCCGAAGTTTGCCAAGAAATTTTTCGCATTAAAAAAGTGAGCACGTTAAAGCTCTAATCAAGCTACGTATAATAAATGAATTTACATCACCAACAGGAAGTTCTAAGTAGGTAAAATGAACATAAGCAAACGTTTCTAGACGATTTTCTCGAGACCACTGGCCTTACTATAGACGTCTAACTGCAGCTTTTGTGCTCGGCAATTCCAAGTTCCACACATGTGGCACTTCCCAACTATCCACACCGGTCTTCAAAGGCGTAGTACGACAACCAGGCTTCAAATATCCGAATCGACATTTCCACCAATTCACTGATATAATTAAATTTCTATCACAGGAAACTGCATCGAAAGGGTTACTACCCGAGCGTTTAATGAGTGCTCATTAAATGTTTCCGTGTAAGTAGAAAATAAAGTCCACGATACACATTTGAAACTTAGTGAAGTGCTCTGTTCACAGTTAGCGAACATAATTTTGTTTATTTCTTTTTTGGTGTTTCTACACGAACAACGCCAACCACCCCGTGGTGTTTGCGCTAAGGGCGTTGACACGGAAATGGTGCTAATGTCTCTACCAAAATTTTATTTTCCCAAGCATTGCCGTACGTTTACAGTTCCGTATTTCACGTCATCGCCATGATTTCATTACGTCGCTGTTTTACCCGCCTTAGGACGCGGAATTTAAGGCCACTATAGAGTCACGCAACATTATCATAGTTCGCATCGTTACATACCGTCATATATTATGGTTCATTGTAACTCCTATCATTTTGCATGGCACTCGTCTTAGACGAAGCATGGCCCTTGCTTCATTAAAACCCTCATATTATCATCATCACCACCATATTAATCTTTTAGGGGCAAAGCACCTTGAAGCGGCACCCGTTCGTCGTTCGTCGTAGTACGTAACATGTCTTACGCTTTGTCCTGTAAGGTGGTGCCGGTGGGAGATTTCTCCTGTGCGTTGTTAAACAATAAAAAATTCGCAGCATGCGCGTTAACTAAAAGCCGAATTCTCCTGTCTCTCATTTCCCATTAGCAACCATTGGCATGTACATTGAGCACTATCTGACAAGAAAGGGTTGCTACGTTATACTCGCTGGGCGTAACCTCCTTGGTTTTAGAAAGTTTTAGCGAGCGTTGGGCCGCAGTGCCATAAATACAGTGAACAAGTATATACCATGAACTCGAGGTGGTTAAAGGTGGGAAGTAGACACGAAGCGCAAGCCGTAAGAAAGCGTGCGTGTGCCACCTCTCATTTAGTCCTTGGAATGTCCGCTGGATGGCGGTGCTTCTATGTGCGGCATATATAATGAAAAGATGCGTGATGGTGGTACTTGGAGTGTTCACGAGATGGACGTACGGATGGACGCATGGATGGACAGACAGACAGACTAGCAGACTGATGGACGGATGGATGGACGCGCGGACGTACGGACGGATGAACGCACGAACGGACGGACAGATGGATGGGTGGACGGACGCATGGGCAGATGGACGCACGAATGGATTGACGCACGGATGGTCGTGTGGACGGACGGAAGCAAGAACGAACGGATGGACGGAAGCACGGACGGGCTGATGGACGCTTCGCACCACTTATCATCATTCACTCGGTGGATATGCTGCGTAATTTGTTTTTCATCTAACTCTTTCTTTTCATTGTGTCTGTTTTTATTTTTCTCTTCATAGACTTTTCTTTCCTTACATCTACTTTTCCTTACCTCTACTTTTCCCTCACCTTTCTTTTATATTTTCTCTCTTCCTTCACCTTCTTTCTTTTTCTCTGTTTCTTTCGCCACACTTGTTCTCCCTTCCTCTTTACCATTCTCCTCAGCCTCACTTACGTTTCGCAACCTCTTGACATATTGTACTATACACGGCTATGCAATGTGCTGCTAGAGAGCGTGCATGTTATAGAGAAACGCATAGCTAATTTCCTCAACATCCAACTTCATTGAGATGGTCACTCAGCTAACTCATGTGTAGGAGCAAATGAAAAGTGAGCTAGAATGGTACTTGCATTGGTAAGGTATTCTTGTCCTTACCACCGTTCTAGTGTATAACTGGAAAATACGGTCACTTGGCGTATTGATGGTACATTTTTTCGCCTCACGCGGTTGCCCATCCACCCAATTCCACATATGTTCCTAACACCAAACGTTGGCGCTGCTTGCATGTGCCATTTGAATGTTGTGGAACGTACTTACAAGGAGCATCATGACGTAAAAAGTGTCGTAAAAAGTTGGATATGCCGAGAAAAGTTGCAGAGAAGCCTCATCTCAATAAAGTACTATGTCAAAAGGAGGGCAGGGCAGGCGAAGTGATCCTTTTTTATGTATTCTTTTCGCAAACAACTTACTGCAGCATAATGAGGAAAAGAAAGAATGAGACTGAAAAGTCTTCGGAAAAAAGCACGAAGTTGAACCAGGCTCTGCTCGGCAGCTTAACCTGCTTAGAAAAAGTGGGCCTAAAACAGAAGGTTGAGGACAGCGTGCGAAAGCAACTAATGGCGAGAGAGGACAAGCAACATACCAACGTACCCGACAACATTACCACGTAAACTATAAGAGATTTTCCAAGTACACGCTGTAAGTGTAGAATGCTACGTCCGGCTGGTCACACCTACTGCATTTTGAGTCTTGTGTAGAATTCCGACAGAGGAGCTCATTCTCGGCGAAGGTTGGCCCGCTGCTATCTTGGAAAATCAATATGCTCACGGTGAAAGCGGGCTTTGGAAGATCAATACCCGCTCTGAGGGGGAAAAAAATGTGTTGTTCTGCCACTGACATCGCCAGGAAACGGTCATATGTACGCGGAGCTCCAACGACGTTGCTGTGCTTTGATGTTTGCAAGACAGCGGTGTCACCAGGCCACCACCAAAACCTTCCAAATTTGAGAAAGTATTGCTTCTTCGGAGTGCCATTGATGTTCTGCATGACATGCTACTCAATTCTTTGAATTTTTCATGGTGGGTGCCTCGCGTGGCTGCGTGAAATTCTTCCATTTCTGAACATTTAAACTAGTATGTTATGTTCTAGTGTTTGCGTATGCAAAAACACAGGAGAAAATTATTATAAATTGTTTACAGTTGTTATTATTACTTTTTCTTGCAGTTGTTATTATTACGAAAATTGCGACCAGGCTCTTTTAAGGTTACTTTTCTTTTTCGGAGTGACATGGTCGCACAGCTCATAGTTGTCCTCGTTTTCTGCCTCATCAGTTTCGCCACAAAACGAACAAAAACAAAGCTATCATCTCCCATCACTGCACGATTGGCACTGCAAGCATTACAAGCAACCACTTTGATCACCCACCCATCGCTAACAAAAAAAAAAACAACTGAAAGGGTTGACAAAACATTTTGATCGAGAGTGGAACGGAAATACGTGAATATCGGATATACCTATAGAGCTAAGGAAAAGAAAATTGAATATATGTATGTCATAAGGGGGTCTTATTATGTGGTCGAAATAGCAAAATACGTGACGCCTTGAGAGCAGAGCGAACCTCTTCAGTGTTGTGAATTGCTTCATAAGAAATGTTCATTTTCAATTGAGATTGCAATTTTCCGGACACACTAGGCGCGTTCACGCTTTAGGTGGTGCGTGTTGACGTTGTGCGCCTGCGCTGCCGCGGCGCATTGACGGTCACCACGCAGAGCGTTGAAGCTAATCTGACCTGCAGAGAGCGTAAGGTCGAAGAAGAGCCATTTGAGGGTGAGAAGTTAAATTGATTATTACCTTAATTCAAAATTCTGCCGAAATACAAAGTTCACAGTTTTGTCTGCGAAAAGTGACGCGTAGACAAGTGGACGCACTGTCACTCCTTCACTTTCGGCTCTGTCAGCTTGTGACCAGAGAAGCGTGAGTGCTCTGGCTTTCGTTTACAGCCTGATTGTTTTGCGCCTTCTTAGTAGTGTTCTTGCTCAGGATCAGTGAGCGACCGTGGGTGATCCAGGGTGCAATGTACAGAAAACGACACGGTGGTGCATCGTCATTACCGAAGTGTGGAGTTCTTTGTTTTTTTTTTTTTCAGCGGGACCTGTTTTCTAAAGTACACGGTGGTAACACGTGCCGTTGTGTCGCCTGTACGCAGGCAAGCCGGCCTGCGAGTTCCCGGGTAAGCCAGCGCACGCGCGCGTCGTGCCCTCCAAGTTTCACTACGACATCGGCGAGCTGGTTACGGTGGCGTGCAACGCGGGCTTCCGGTTGCTGGGCTCGGCGAAGCTTCGCTGCTCTCGCGACGGCCACTGGTCACACCCGTTGCCCCACTGCCGCCGCCTGGTGGTGCACAAGTAGTACCAGCGCGTGCAAGGGGGCATCATCATCCAGCACATGTCGCCACCGCACCGGACCTGAGACCCGAATCCTGGCGGCTGCCAGATACCAGAACCAAGCTTCGCTTCACCTTCATCCTCTGCTGGCTCTCCCTCTCTCTTTCTATGCCTTCCAGAGCAACATCTATTTTCTATGACAAGACTATAGACTATTTTACTTAAGACATATGGGTGCCGTTATCTCGGGATGTTAAGCCGATGTGTTCTTGATATTGCATATTTCGACGTAAAATAATAGGACCCTTAAACATCGTATGCACGAACTCGACTGTTTTCATGCGTGTGGGTCTACCGTAACACTGTTCGTTTAGTTCTTAAAGATGCTAAACACAAAGGTTCACAGGCCAATATGGCGGCACTCAGACCCCTCCGTAAAATAGTCTATAGCAACTTAAAAAGAGCGCCAAAAAAAAGGGACAACACAGACGTAGTAAGCGCTGACTTACTTAGTACGCACCTGCCCGGTTGTCCTTTTCTTAGCGGTGTTTCTCCTTCTTCGTGGACATGCACCAACCAAACCAAATATGTACTCTAGTGTAGTTCATTTCTCCGACAAGTGCTGAAAGGCGGGCTAGTGGGTACATGTCGTTTGAAGACACGTTATTTTCTGACAATGTTTAAACTGACAAAATATATATTTGACTTCGACATAAAACTGCGACATGAAGTACAGACAGAACCGCCATAAAAGGAAAAAAAAAGAAGATTCTCTCAACTGCGCTTTTTTTTAAATAAATGTATGTGAGGAGAGGTTCGTCATGCGAAAATTTAGGCAGCAACATATGTCGAACTGGCCGTAAACTGAGAGGTATAGATTTTGTTATGTTCAGTATAAGAAAGCAAACATCGGCGTAATTAAGGTATCGTTCTGCTTTGACCACCTGATAGTTTAAGCAGGTTTTAACACGCGCGTACTTATTTTAAACCTTCAGGCGCTCTTTAACTAAGAATATGTTGTAGGCCTTGTTTTGTTTGTTAATATCATTTTTCAAATTTCTCCGGTATAAGATGACCAAGGAATAAAAAATGTCTCATATTACTTCGATGAGCATAAGCGAAAATTGATGGCGTGGTTTAAGTGAATGCTTCCTGCTATAAATTTCGTGGGCTCTATATGTAGTGTAATAGCTGTGCCAAGCAGAGCGTCCCATCTATTCGCACGCTAGTGATGTTAGAATTAGATATCATTATGCTTACGTCAGCTCCATCTAGGTAAGGTGGCACAACAGCAGCAATAATGATCTATCCGAAAGCCCCTAACCACTCGAAAATTTCAGAACAATGACCCCGTGCTCACTAGAGCTCGAAGCAGACGAAATCGCCAACACTCCTTGGAAATCCACTTGCTTCGTCGCCGAAGTGGGTGGAAAACCAGACGGCGAGCCCGATAGCTGTCTGACCGATGTTTCTTGCCGTGAAGGTAGCGTAACGGGAAGTGGTAGTCTGGATGCGCTGGAATATAAACCACGTGCTGTAATTATCGTGCGCGAAATAGAAAGGGTGACCGAGTAAGAGGTGCTCAATTTTGTTGACGAAATTGCACACTGTCTTTGTTGTACAACAAAACTCTACAAGGACGCATTCCTGGTTTGGATGGATGAAGGTTGCCGATGACGCACAAATTTGCAGAAAATACAGCAGGAGTACTTTGGCTTGCCCCAACATATTAAAATAAAATCTGTATTCTTGCATTTCTCTTAAGGTCATTCGTAGCGTTGCGAGGATCTCGAGCCGCTAGAGCGCTAGCGCAACGCAAGGCTCGTTCAGCCGGCCTTTGCAAAGCAAGAGCCACAGTGCTGCTCTAGGCGTGAGTCATAAAAATAGGAGGATGCTCTTGGATATAGGCCAGCTCGAACGCTGTAGTCACAGCTGCTGCTGTTTATCTCAGTTTTTCTCTCGCTCGAAGTCACGCCACGTGATGCACTGCGGAAAGGCATCGCGGCTGTCCTCTGTCGGAGCCCCACCGTTGTGGTACCAGGTGATCAGGCGAACGTTTAACGGCCGCTTCGACGGCGTTTGGTCGCTCATTCTCGCCATGAATGCCTGCGAGTGCGCTTCAGCGCAAATGACAGACTGAGTCAAATCGTCGGGTACGTATAGCTTAATTGTTGGTTGCTAAATCCAAAGCAAAGGCAAAGTTTCCTGCTGAAACACCGAAGCAAAGGAAGGCCGGATCAGCACTATGGGAAGCGTGCCAAGCGCGGAAGTAAGCCACTGCAGCCGCCGCCTGTGTACATGGTCCTTGCAAAACTAAGTTCAAGTCACTTTTATCTCGTGTTAGATAGGTTCACAAGAGTGAAGGTTCAGTCACTTTCTTTTCGTTTTTGCCCAGCCCAGCGAACACAACACCACCTCTAGCAGGGTGTCGGCTTAAGTAGCATCTGCTAATGCCCCACCTGAAAGCAAGAGATTGAAATGGTCAAAGCTATTTCTTCTACGAGTTCTACGCGCGTAACTGAAAAAAAAAAGGTATGAAATAATTTACTCACTTTATGTGCCAACGAAGAGTAAGTAGATGGGAAGGAGGCGCTGGCGACAGCACAAGTGTGAACATCTTGAAAAAGTGCAAAACGGAATTTCTGCACACTTTGACGTTTCTTTTTTCCTCTTCTGCTACCTCCCTATATTATGAACGCGGCCTGAGGATGTGATAAAGACTTAGAAAAAAAGGAGAGATAGAAAGAGAATATGAAAATAAGACCGGATTTCTTTGTTTCGGAAAGAGCCACATATGGCGGTTCGGTCCGCACGTAGGAGAGAAATGTCATCATACCCTCTTTATTTTCTTAATTTTTTTATGATGCAAGTTACACAAGTGACGCTTAGTGATCCCAGGCCTGTTTTGTTTGCGCAATGCTTTTCGTCAACTAGCATATGTATCTATGTGTCTTTTCAGATGACCACCGAACTTCGTTAGCACATTTGGGACAACTCTTTATAAAAACCTCCTAGCTTTGGTCCACCACGCATATTACAATCTTGGGGCGTGAGAGTTATAGGACGGGTATTTATAGTGATAGAAATAGGCTACTTATTGTAGATGCCTCGGGATTACTCAGTTGTTCACCCAGTAAATGATTTCGTCTTCTTTTTTCTCTTTTTACAATGGCCGTTGTGCTTGTGGTTTTTGTTGGCGATGACCTATTGGTGATCACAAACCTTTTTAGACTGCAAATTACTTTACAAATTACTTGCCGGTCTAGCTTCGACAACAATATTGGTTAGGAGGGGCCTCTCTACGTATTTTTTTTCTTTCACAAAATAATAAATACTGCAAAACCCTCGCCCTTTCACGCACAAAACCCATAAAAAAGTTTTACAAGCTATTTGTCACATCGAAACGTTATAAAAAATGAAGCACATATCAATCTAAACGCTTCTCGAATCGTGTGTTTAATTTGCGGAGACATTTTATTTGCCATTTTGATTGTAGCACGTAAACTTTCCCGGAAAGAGCAATAAATCTCTGTTATGGGGAAAAAAGTGTTCGTCAGGTGGAGGCATTCGTTATTAATCAGTTCCTAATTATTGCTCATTTTAATTAAAATGTTACAAATGGATTTGTTGATACGAAAGATTTTGGTAGATAAATATAAACTATGTCTCTTGGACGCCCATTAGCTCGCTTATATGGCTTGACTGCTGCCCTCACCTCGATCTTGTTCATAAAGGCCGAGCTCGGGCTAGCCTGCTGCTACCACGGCACAGCCAATAACGTATGTACCCACTGCATCGGCGCCTTTTGATGTCGAGTGAATCACTACAGCACCTATACCTTCCAACATCTGACTCTCTATTTTATAACAATAATATACAAATTGAAGGGAAAAAAAAACGTACAGCCCACACTTTGAATCTGACTCTTACATGCGCTACAACTTTCACTTTCGGTAATGAAACAAAGTGTGGCCGTCAGAACGAGATCAGAACGAAGGGAAAAAAATAAAAGTTCCCGCGACTGGCTGTAGCAGCCAATACTATTCATAAGAAAAGATACATGATAGCTATAACAACACGAGTGATTCTGCTTTCAATCAAATAATGAGGCGAGTGCAGAGGAAGTAAGTGACAGCGAAATTCATTTTCAAACCGGGGCGCTATAAAAAGAAGCATGAACGTATTTTTATATATATGCGCAATACCTACCACGCAGTTCGTTACTCCGGAAGGCGTCGCTCGATCGCAGACTCAGGTAAAAGGAAGCCATCTATACATGCCATTCTGCCGAGTGGTCTCAGTCATTCATCGGGCCTCTCCCTATAGACGTGCAACAGCGTTACATAACATTTTGCTGGGCAGGCATAAAATATAAAACGCCGTTTTGAAACGACTCTTGAATGCATGAATGACAAAAAAAATGTGATACTCCTATATTATGGATGAAAAAATTCACAAAAAGTGTGACTCTCTCTCTTTCTCTATACAGCGATGTTTCTAGTTCCACAGACACCTGAATGGTTTTGAAATTGTTGTTCTTGTGTGTTACAGATCCGGCTAAACATATCATCGTCTCTAATGGCGTTATGAATTAAAGTGTCCCAGAGTTCGATGCTGTTGATAAGTTTAGATTTTTATCAATAATTTCACGAGTCTACCTGAAGTAAATGAGCGAGATATGCGTCCCTGTGTAACTTGATGAGTTCACGAACCACGCATTGAGCGAAATCACACCTGTAATCTTGATTCAATTGATACTCACTCGTTTTCATTCGTTAATGAACGAATGCTTTTGAAGCCCGCCGCATGTGGATAGACAAAACATTTTTAGCGCAGCTGCACCGTGACAGCGATGGCAGCGGCTTATAACTTGCATTTCCATACTTTCTTTCTTTCTTTCACTGCGCATTTGCGATCGTCTTTTCACAACCTTCTGCGCAGAAGGCCGAGCGGGTTCGACTTATCTCTCACCTACTGCGCTAGCTAAAGGATCTCCGCCGCGCGCAGTCGTACAGCTCCGGCATG